AAACATTGATGACATATTTATAGGTACACAAACATTGATGACATATTTATAGGTACACAAACATTGATGACATATTTATAAGTACACAAGAATTGAAGACACTTTTGAAAGGTGCACAACACAAACAGCTTTGACAAAGAACTTGTAAGTTTGAATTATCTTGGATAATCTGTGCTGCCAAAAACTGTTTAAATGCAGAATGTTTTTATACAAATAAGGTAATGTAAGTCAATAGTTTTAATTTGTTATTTTGAAATATCAGAACTATTCAATTTGATTAATAACACTTACTGGAATACGGTTTGGAGTCGTTGTTAGAAATAGAGAATTGTCTCCCTTAGATTGTAAGCTGTAGAAAGCTTTTCTGGCATTTTTAACTTTGAGTCAATTAATATCCACTGTTTGGCATTTGTATTGTTTGTCTTGTGTTATTATGTTAAAAACTGAAAATAAAATAAATGTAAATTGTAATGTGAAAATATTCAAGCATAAAAATGTAAAAGAAAATGTAATTAAAAAAAAAAAAATTTTTTTTTGAAATGAAGTTGACTGAGATTTTGTATTAATTTTCACAATGCATGTACATGTGTTTTGCCACACAGAGTAATTCATTTGTTAGGTTCTTGTCAATATAATTTCCTACTTCTTCACGAGCATTGTGGATGACCTTGACAGTGTGTACATGTTTGTATCCTTGAACATGTTGGTGATGGATTCTCTAGTAAACAATGTCAAGGATCCCTGTACCACAGCCAAATATTGTAAATTGTTATTTTTTGTGTCAGTATGTACATATATTCTCTATTTAAATAACTTAAAGGATCCCGCACCATTGCAACAAAAATAAATGTGTGTCCTAAATACATCATTCTCCTGTTAACTATCTCTAAGCATTCCTGTACCACAATTTTCTTTAATAAATTTGAATTGGATTTTTCTATCTGGCTTGACTATAGCTTTAATAAATCATTTCTGAAAAGAAACCATACCAAATACTTAATACTAGAACATTTACAAAACAATTCCAAAAATGAAATTAATAAAAGTTATCAACAACTCAGTTTTTAGAGTGAAATATCAATTGAGCCTGACCGGGATTCAAACCCTGGA